GCTGAGTGAGCTCGGTAAGTGCCGCTTAAATCACCGCAGCGCCAGATCTACGGGAAAGTGCAATCAAACTCTAAAAAGGATCCAGGATGAGTGATTGTATTTCTTCCGTATCCAGGGTTGGAAGAAATATGTAATAAAAATGGAAATAGTAGACTCAGGGATAAATACCGTATTTTGGGGCTGAGTCAACACAGCCTTCACAGAGCTGGAAAGCAATCCTCTAGAGGTCTCTGAAGAAGGCAATGATGATCCAGTAGGTGATGCAGTGGATATAGCTACCTAAGCTGCAGTTGTGTTTACTGGACAGTCCGCACTGGGGTATAGGGAGTGAGGAAGGCTGTTGTAACATGTTGCAGCTTTCAGGGATGGAGGGTGCCAACAGACCTTAATGGCTCCTGACTGGCCTCAGCGGGGGCCTCCACCCATGGCCTCTGTCTGTTAGCCCAGGGGCTCCGTTTAAGCTCTGGCCTTAGCCTTTGCTCCTTGCTTGGGCTGTGTTGTAGAAGTACATATAGCCAGTTTGGTCTTGGTCTCCTTGCTGGATCTTGGACCTAAGTTGTATCCTTGTTTTTAGTCTTGTCTTTGGCTTCTGGATGGGCTTTGGATGGGATTCAACACCTCGTCAACAGGCTGTGCTATCTGCCCGCCCCTGCTCTGCTGAGGTACTGTGGGGCTGTGCTGGAGTCACAGCTCCTAAGGAGCTCCCCTGGTTGGAGTAGCCCTTTTCTTGCTCCCCTCCGGCCCATTTGTCTTGATTCTCTTTCAAGGCAAACCAGAGAATGGGTCAATGACCTGTGTTGTGAAGTCAAAGTGGAGTAGGGCAGAGCAAGAAGAGTATTTGGGTTCTGCAGTATAAGCTTTCCAAAAGCTTTTAGGAAGACTTATCAATAAAATACATCTTAAGACTTAAAAATTCTTTAGGGAAAAAGGTGCAGGTAAATGTCTCATTGTCCTAATGGGCCATCGGAGCACCTCAGAAATCCATTGTGGCATCTGTATGTGTAATCTTTAAGTACCTGGAGAAGGTGAATAGTGAAGTAACAAGCTGCAGGTGCTAAAACAATGTTTTGAGATGGTTCGGGCTAAAACTGATGTGTTACTTCTCAGCATGGATTACAGGACAGACTCTTCATGCTTGCAAGTGTGTTCTGCAGGAAGCAGTTACTGGTGGGTACTGTGCAGACGGGGATCAAAGGGGTGAACAGGCTGTGAGTCATGATGGGGAGGTCCTGACTGTTTCTGGAAACATGTCCCGCTTGCACAAACGGCAATCCACTAGAGAGCAGCAATAGATCATGTCTTTTGTGCCTGGACAACTTGTGAATAAAACAAAGCATTAGGGTGATGCTTGCAGTTGGACACTGGTTTCACATCAGGTTTTATTGGAACCAGGGAAGCTACAGACCAGCCAGTCCCATCTGGCCCAGCCCTTGGGTACTTAGATACGCAAATACTGAAACCAGCCTTTGTAGCTTGTCTCCAGGAACCCAGCTTTCCCCATGCATGAAGTTCAAAAACTACAATAAAGTTCTCTTCAGCCTACAGCTACTGCAAACCAGATAAAACCAAGTGAGCTGTAAAACTTTCAGCCGATTCTTGTCTCTAGGCATCACCTCAGGTTAAGGCTCACTGACACCTCTAGTTATCTCCAGTGCCGAGTCTTTGGAGTTGCGCCTCTCCTTTCTCACCTTATGGTATCATTCTGACACTGGCAAGGTAAAAGATAAATGGTGGTAAAATAGCAGAGATCACGTTGCTGCAGGAATGGTTTAGGAGGAACAGAGTCCAAACATGCTCTGGTTTCAAACTAATTTCAACACATCTCAGTTAGTATTTACACTGGAGATTTTTTCTTTAAAAAAAATAAATCTTTCTTTTAAATAAAAATGTACCTAAAATGTGGAAGTATGTCAATATATGCTATGGCATAAGATACTCTAACCTACACTAAAATCGACTAATTATATTAAAACTAGCATTCAAGTGTTCATGTATCAAGCATATACTATGCTCGATAGTAACATTTTCGGTGAAAGGTTTGCTTTCGCTGCCTGGTAACTGGGGCAGAGTAAGGACTAGGCACCAGGGAACAGATTTACAAAATCTTATTTTTGTGATTTTGACCTTTTCTGTAAAATCCAAAACATTTTTTCGGACTTGATCAAGGTCAATGATTTAATTATTCTAACCTGATTAACTGACTGGCAACTGAAAAGCAGGAAAGCTAATTTTCTTCTCTCTATCAGTAAATAATGAGGCATGAATTGCATGCTTTCACTAATCCTAGCATCCTAGAGGACACAATATCTGTAAACAGATAACTGTTATTTAACATAATTTTAAACACAAAGGAAGTTTTGTGCATGGTTTTATTATTTGACTCTTTTCAGACTGGTATAGTGCAGTATAATAGTTTAATTTAACGGCTACAAAGTTATTTTAAAATGCTCTTCAGCAGAATCTGATTTCTGTCCAAATGAAGCATCACACAAAACAGTTTTAAAAAGAATTGTCATGTAGTAAGTGCAATACCTTCTATTATTGTGACTTAAAAAATTAGGACTCTTAATGTAGTAAGAACAATTGGCCTGTTTAAACAGGTAGAGATAACTGTGAATCCTCCTGAAAAGTAATAAGCTTCCCAAGGTGAACATGCTGCTGAGTTAAGCCAACTGCTTGTTCACTAGCAATTGTCTGCGTAAGCTTTTGTGCGAATAGCTGAGAAACTGAGCATTACAGTGATATTCCACTGGATCCTTAGGCAGTCACACGATTTTGTTTCCCTTGAGGTTCATACACTCTAATGCTTTAGCCAGGGAAAGTGCCCTCTGCACTTTCTCGTTATGGAAAGATCATTGGACTTACTGTTCCTGTTGCTTCTGATGATACCTATTACTGATACAAAGCTAGGAAAAAAGCCTGTACTTAAACACCAAGTGTTTGGTTTTTCTGCCTCTGCCATTTAATATTATGCTAAGAGGGACTTGGATTACATGGTGAAAAAGCGCTCATTCTCTGCCGTGGAATGAAGGTGAAACTGAGTAAGCATCACTAAGAATATGATAAACATCGTATTAAAATTACTAACAAACAGCAGTGATAAAATATCTGGCAGATCAAGGACAGTGCGGATAAGAATGAGAAATGTCAGAAGACAGGGTAAGAAAGGGCGTACAGCAGAAAGTATGCAAGTCACAGCTGTGTAATCAAATTATTTGGGTAGATAATGAGACTGAGACCTGAACATCTGCTAGAATATCAAAGCAGACAATGTAGACAAGCAGCATCAAAAAGGAAATTTGCATCTATGAAATAACTTCTGATAATGTGCTATCAGGTGATATGAGACTTTGGTCTATTAATTAGCCTTGAAAAATACTGAATTCTTTCTGGCAGTCAGGAAAATGAATTAAACCATGGGATAAATCTCCTGACTCAAAGGTTACTTCCATGGAACGGATATGCAAAGCCGCATGGCAGAACTTCAGTGGGCCCTTCTGTCCCTCCTTCCTGCACACCTGGAGTGACCCAGCTCCAGACTCTGCACAGTGACCTGGTCTTGTTCTCTTGCTTTTATTGTCTAATAACTTCTTCTCTCTCCCCTGTCATTTTGTGATGTGCAGCAGCAGCAGTGTGCTCCTCTGACTCCCTCTGTCTCTCTTTTCAACCTGATCTTGAATAGACATGGAGGCTGCTTGGAACTGCACGGGAGGACCTCAGGTTACCGCTGTAATAAACTAACGAGGACTTAAGAACTTCATCCTCCTAACAGCCAAGGCAAAAGGGGTCATTTATGTCTGCACCTCGTTACTGCAGTATAATCTACGTGGGGATTGTAACTGTAGATGAATTGTGGAAGTCACAGAAACGTGGAATATTTTAGGAAGTTTAGGAACAAACTATTAGTAGGGTAAAAGGAAAATGTTAGTAGCAAAGCTTTACATAATATCAGCTAAAACTTTCCTAGCAAAGTACTCCTCAAAAGCAAAGCATCAGCCCATACATCTCTCTGGAAAGACACCCTCTGCCATCTCAGTCTGCTGTGAACCATGTATATTCCTCTGAATTTTGCCTTTGCAGGCAATTCTGAAGGTTTTCTTTCATGTTTTTTATAGATCTGAGGCAGCAAATTCATAGGATTTTCTATAGCACTAGGTATTTGTGCGGGAACTGAAGCTGTGGGGAGAAAGCAACATCTGCCTGCCTGTGGTGGTGTTCGTGTGGTTTCAACATGAATATTCCCGTTGTGCGGCTTACTCTTCCAGTGTGGGTTTTCTAGGATTCAGCCACCTTTCTAGGCTTGTTGCTATTCATGGACATCAAAGGAAGGAAGGCTTCCCAGAAGGTGGGAAGCCAAAACTCTGGGAGCTGGTGGTGTTATTTGTTTGTAGACTGTGAAAGACACACTGTCGCTGCCAGTGATGATTATATTGCACGATATGATATTGGAAAAACAATCAGATTCACCTCTGGCTCCACCAGATTTCCCGTGCTCCTGGACAGCAATGCCTGGCTGAGAGCTGTGCCCAGACCAGGCAGGCTGGCAGGCGGGCTCTGCGGAGCGGGGTGGCTCCTGGCAGCAAGGTAAGGAGTTTCTAGGACAGGTAATCAGTGTGGATGGGTCAGAGTTCCTTGACATTGAGTTTTGCTGTAAACATACTGCTACCGGATATCCTGTCCCTTGGTCAGCAGTGAAGGGACCTGCAGCAGCTCATGAGTTCTTCTTAGAATTAAAGATGAGTCACTTTAAGGTTGCTGGATTTTCTTTCCTATTGCTCCACTTCCTCTGTTTTCTGAAGATAAATAAGAAATGAGAGCCTGGAAATTCTCTTGAGAGGTCCTGCAGCTTGTTTGTTTTGTGAAAATACTTCTTGTTATCAAATTTTGTTACACTTGTTAACAACAGCAGCAGTTTTCCCATAAAACTTGCCCCAAGTAAACTAACCACAGCTTTGAGAACTGAGCTGCAGAGCAGAGAAGATCATCTTGGAAATTTGAAGATGAAGTACTTTCTTCTGCCAATTCATTTAGCATTTCTCTATAGCTTTGCACTAAGTAAACCTGTCCAGGTGTGTCCCTGCTCTAAGACGTTGAGAATTTACATTGCTGCTGCTGAGTTGCTCTGACTATCTGAAAATTAGTTACAAACTTTTACTGCTGTGATTCCACATGATAGAAGCTTTCTGCTATGGAGATAAGCATGTATTAAAAGATAATGCTCTTTTTTT